CCCAAGTAGATCCGGCCATGGACACCGAGCCCCAAGCCCCGAGGCCATACCACCCCCCGGCAGAGCCCCAACAGAGCCAGGGCACCCAGGCCCCGCCAGGCAGCAACCAGGGCGGACCGACTTGCACCCCACCACCCAGCCCAGACACCGAGAGCCACCAATGCACCGGCGGCAAGGGGATCCCCCGCCAAAGGGGGGCACGACCGGGGGGAGTGGGCCCCACACCAAACGTGGGGCCCAAATTGATCCAAGAGAGGGGGGACCACCAAAAACCCAACCTGAGCAACCAACAGGCACACACAGATAGCATGCACCATCTACCTGACAGCGACCACAGGCCGGCCCCAGCCCAAGGGGCAGAGCAGCAGGGAGCCGCAGCTGAGGAGAGCCGGCCCCCACATCAAGAGCCCCGCACCATAGGCCCGGAGACGCCCCAGCACGCCATCTATGCACCCCCCCACACACACAGCACCCCCACCGCAAATGCCACACAGGAAGACCAGCCAGTGCCCTGATGAGGCGAAGCCACGCCCCCAACCGCCGCCCTACACCACCAATGTCCAATGACTCCCAATTGGGCTCAATTGGGCTCAAAGAGAAATTTGATTCCTTCTTATCGTCTACAGCTAAGGAAGAAGCTTACTGCCATAAAAATTTTTTATCAAAAACATGCTGGCATTCATTTACTAACCTAGCTACCAAAGTGTGTGATTTTAACATGACTGTGTCTTTTAAGGTTATGATGGTAATATTTGTCACAAATATCTGCAATAGTTGGCTTCTATATTAATATGATTACAAATAGTCCCATGATTCCACCTAAACTATTCACCCTATCCCACAAGAAACTACTGTATTAAAAACCTTCATCTTAATTAGTGAGATGAACCGTAAAATGCGTTACGCTCTTTTTACTCAGTGGGTTCTTGTTCTCTCTGAAGCTTTCTTTAATTTTCTGCTTATTTTTACTCCCAGGCATAACATTTTTGAGGTATTTGTTTCTGGGCAGCATGTTTTTCTCTTTGTGCATCTTTAATTAGATACATTTTGGTAGTAGTAAATCATATGGCATAAAGAAAATTTTATTAAAAAAAAAAAAGAAAAGCAAACTATTTCCAGAGACACAACTTGAGGCTTTTTGGTTCAAAGTTCAAGGTTCTTTATTGTCATTTGCATCACATGTGATACATGAGGTGGAACAAAATTTTGTATACAAGGTCCCAGTTACACTCAAAAATAGCAAATATATAAAATATATAAAAAAAACAGTATACAAGAATCTAAGATATACTCTAAACAATAAGAATGTATTAAATTTTGATGAAACAAGAGGAAAAAAACAGCCCTTTAAAGGCTCATCTAAAGCAAGTTTTATGATTTTGTGACAATTTTACCACATAATGTTCAGCTTGAAGCTGTCTAAATGTTATTTGTTGATTTTGATTTTTCAAAAATATTCCTATTTCCACAGACTTCACAATTATTATACATCATAATGCTAGCATGTCAACTTAGATTATGTCAAAAGTAAGCTCCGAATGATAATTGAATTTTATAAAAAAAAAAAAATTCATGCAGTTGCTGCAATGACATGTAAACATTTCTTAATGCAATATTCTTCTTTTGTTTTTAATAAAACTGCTATTAATCCCATTTCTGTGTTGTAATGTCTTAATTTTGGAGACTTTATTACAATATTCAGATAATACATCAGTGGCAAGTTTGCATTCAAGTTTAAAGAAATAGCTCAGTTATGCAAATTATTTTAAATGGGCCAGTCAGTATTTCTGATTTAGATTTTAAATTTTTTAATAATGAGAAGGAAAGAGCTATTTTACAGGCAAGCAGGAGGACACCTTCTCCACATGGACCTTTTACTGCCGTAAAAATGAAAAAGAGAACCGTGTCATATCACATCTCATTCCACATTAACACGGAAGACGTCCAGTTTGGTAGCAGTTAACTGAAATTCAATTTACAGCTTCAGTGGAGTAGAAGAGAGCAGAAAAAAATGAATAAAAATAAAATAAAAATAATTAAAACAATAAAATAAAATAAAAATAATTAAAACAATAAAATAAAAATATGGTGTCAAAGACCAGAAAAGCAGCACATATCGGTAAGTTATCTGGAGCACAGCAATTGCTTTTTTTATTTTTTCAGGCTGGTGGCCTAAATAAAATATTTTTAACTTTATTTTCTTTGCTTTTGTTGTCATTTTAAAGCATATTTTCATCAGCCCGTAACATACAGCTGTTCAAGGCTACAAAAAGATGTGGGCGTCCCCAGTCTACCTGCTGCACTCAGTTTCTCACACCTTCCATGAATTTCTAGTTGTTATAGGAACCAGCAACTGTGCTCAGGTCAAGAAAGAAAGAAAATTAACAAAAAGAAAGAGAATAGAATAGAATAGAATAGAATAGAATAGAATAGAATAGAATAGAATAGAATAGAATAGAATAGAATCCTACCTGAGGTAACGTAGTGGTTCTATGGTCTCAGCCTCCGCTTCAGCTGAGCTGTGGTTCATCTTGTCCATCTGTTTTCACCCAGTACGACTCGGCAAACACACGAGAAAAGATGAGCTGTTCTCCAAGGAAAACACTTCCGTTCCTTCTCCCTGAGACTCTGATTTAATAAGAGCTCTGTCTCCCTCTTTAGCCTGGGAATAGACTGAGAAATTTAAATAAGCTCCCTCCTTCTGTATTCTTCTCTTCAGCTCGGTTGGTTCAGATGCTAAAAGGTAATTTCAAACACACACAATTCTGCTCAGATATCCCTGCCTCTCCTATCTGTCTTTCGCACTACTGTGTCCCTGTGTTGGTTCTGTGTATCAGCTGCTCACTCTGAGAAATCCAGCCAATTAAGAACCAGGAGGCATGATGCTTGCCAGCTGATTGGCTCCTGCTGCCACAATCACGGCTGTTCAGACATCTAGGGTGCAACGCTCAGCATCACCTCCCCCACAAACATAGACTCTCGGGCTCTCATGCACACGCTCAGGCAAAAGGATCTTTGCAAGTAGAATCTAAAATAAGAGAGTGAGGAAACACCTGATCGCTCAGTGCATGAAAAACACAACTTTCCTCACTTTAACTGGCATAATAACATAGACGCAATTTGCAGGTCCAACAAGTAACACGTGGCGTTACTAACATGTTACCACCGTGCAAAAAATACAAAATTATGATTTCTGTGCGCAGTCATGTTTGTACTCATGTGCAATTTGAACCTATTGTAATTTCCATTTGTCTTTTCTTTTTAGATAACGAGTATTAAGGTTGAAAATGTAACTGAGGTATTCAACAACAAAGTCCATGCTCAATAATCCAGGTATACAATCCAACATTCTTCAGTCAGGTCATCTGGACAGTTTCTTTTTTTGTGCTGAAACGTTTCGTTTAGGTGAAAGGAAGAGGGCCGGCAATGGAGGAGGGGGCGTACCAAAGAGACCATCTTATCAAGCAAAACTGGTTTGTTCCACTTTGGAGTAAGCTGTTGGGGGAAGAATCCGTTTTGTTGTGCGTTTCCTTGACTGATGAAGCCTTCTGGATTGAAGGCGAAACGTTTCAGCATAAAAAAAGAAACTGTCCAGATGACCTGACTGAAAAAATAATTAACTGAGGTATTATGATTATAAATGGTTTTGTTAGAATGATCCAAAGAAAACTCTTTAAAGCCAGAGCATCTGCCATTGTTTTGATAACTTGTTATCTGAATTAATGTATGTCTGATGTGTAATTTTGTGTTCTACATAAGAAAAAAAATCCTGGCTATGGATGGTGATCCAGATCACTACCAAAATATAATTGTTTCTTCATTGTGACAACCTCAACATTTTCTGAAATTTTCATGCAAGTCCATTAACAGTAGTCTTGTGCACAGAGACAAACCATTGTAACCAAACACATAACCTCCCTGGTGGAGGTAATGATAATAAAAATTAAATTGTCAGCAGAAATAGAGGAAACGTTTGGTTCTTTGTTGTAGCAGGAGTGAGAGAGGGTGGAAAGAAGGCAACACTTCTTCCTCACTTTACTAAACTTTAGCTTGTATTAAATGAGGGCAGGTCTGTTTATCGACCAGTGGCAGATTGGTTAATTTATTCACTCTTTTAACAATCAAACACAACTGAAATACAGGGAATTCTTTACCATTATACTTATACCAGATAGGAAGAAGAGCAACTTTTTCTTATTTTTTTATTTTTTTTACAGAAAAAATCTGAATCAAAGAATCAGAACTATAAGTCAAGTCAAGTCACATTTATTTATATAGCACATTTAAAACAGTAACTGTTATCAAAGTGCTTACCAAAAAGATCACAACATCGAATATGAATAACAAGAAATTACAGCAACATGAATAAAAGCATAAAAACATGAAATATAATGAGAAACAATGCAATACTAAATCAAATCACCCTGTATTAAATGTCAGGGAGTAAAAGCAAAAGCATTATATATATATATATATATATATATATATATATATATATATATATATATATATTTTTATGTTAAGAATGCTTAGTGTATATTTAGTTGATGTTTTTCTTAGTTCATATCTTAGATGTTATTACTGTTTTTCTTATACATTTTATTGTTGGATGTAACTGGGACCCTGTGTACATAATTTTGCTCCACCACATGAGGTGCGAATGACAATAAAGAAACTCTGACTCTGACTGAAATATATGTATATATATATATATATATATATATATGTAAAAATTCGATAGAACTATACACCTTTAAACACAAAAACAAAAATAAGTAACTAATAATTTGGAGGATAGTAGCTGAGATTGGATTCTTAATTATTTGTTGGAAATAATGATTTGACAAGATGAGATAAAGCATTAATTAATACTTGAATGATCTTAAGTAAAGTTGTGATTATCACCTATCTAAAATCAAAACAATGTTGTTGGACAGGAGTTTTTTTTGTTGTTTTTTTTTTTTTACTTGCGCAGGAATTTATATAAATTTTACTATTTTGATAAATAGTTCACTTTAGATTTTGGATGAAGGATGCTATTAATTCAACCAGATTGACTGTGATTATTTTTTAACACTGCAGATGAAGATAAGAGGTTTAACAAAATGCATTAGCTAAATATCCTGATTCATGCTCAATAATCCAGGTAGAAAAATCCAACAAAGTCAGGTCCTCTGGACAGTTTCTTTTTGTTGAAACGTTTCATCTTTCATCCAATAGACTTCATCAGCCCGAGGAGCTGCAAGAAACTCAGTCTTGTAAACAGAACAGGGGAGAGGGTGGATACAGAAACCATCTGAGCACCATGAAACTGGTTGACCCTCTATGAGAAGGTGCTATTTACAAGACTTTGATTTGTTTTGATCTGCCCTATTTGACTTTTTAAGTTTTTACTTTTTATATGTGGGTACATGTTAATGTGAGGTCCATATTATATTTTATTTTCAATTGCTCACTATTATCCATATTTAGACCTGCCTTTTTTTTGTTTGTTTGTTTGTTTTGGTTTCTGTTCCAGAATGAGAGCTGTAGATGGTGGTCCAGAGTCTGGTGTTGGTCCCCCTGTGTTGTGTGTGATGGAACCCTTCCACTCTTCATGTGCCCTGTATCACAGTTTTTAGGTGAATTCTCTGTTTGGGTATTTTTGGGAACCATCCTTTTGTTGTTAGTTGACAGACTACTGAAAAAATATCAGCTTTGTTGTTATCATCAATACTGCCTCCATTTTTTGACTTGGTTTTCAAATAGTATTCAATTTTATAGTGTACCTTAGAACACAGGTAGCCCCTGAAAGTTAAACTGGTGTCACAACCTAAAACTTATAAAAGTCAACAAAAATAACTAAAAACCCAAAGCTGCCACAAACTTGGTGTTGTCTGTATAAGACCCTATTGTAGAAGCAGAGACGCGTTTTCCCATTAAAATTTTTTCCTGTACACATTTATCTTTTTTTTTTTATCTGGTATGAATTGCATTCTACTGTAAGTTATTGAGAAGCAAATCAGCAGTTTGTCTTGGAGAGTGCTAACATCCTTTCTTTTTATTGCTAGAGTCTCATTTTAAGGTAGACTTATGGAGAATGAGTTGCAAGATTTGAGGGCCTTAGTCCAACTGCAGAGGACAGAACATGAGAGGATGCAGTTGTTACTGATCAGAGTGCTGCACCTTCTACCTCACCACACCCTCCAGTGTTAATGCCTCTTTAATGGAGAGATTGGTGTTTGTCCCACGGGATAAGAAATGTTCTACGTTCAGGGGAAGAAAAGATATAATGTTGGCTGAATAGCTGGAGGAGATGCAGGCTTGCATGAGAGCACACCATTTATCTGAGGCTGATCAAGCATTTTTTTAAATTTGATCACCTGGAAGGAGATGTGTGAGAGGAGATCAAGTTCCGTCCCCTGGCAGATAGGTAAGACTCAGCCAGGATAATTACCATAATATAAGAGCATTATAGTTGTTCAGACTACTATGTTGCTTTACAGGAGGCTTACTTTTTTGTGGTGTCAGCAAGAAGGGGAGATGCTCCAAGAGTTCTCTCTTGCATTAATTAGTATAATGGCTGCAGTAAAGCAGTAGGCGACTAGTGGAATGACCAGTGCTGATGTTTTGTTGTGTGACCAAACTGTAGAGCATGTGGTAGATGGTGCCTTGCGCCATGAAATACAGTAAAGTGGTTTGTGTGTGAAAAACTCATGGCTATTTTGCTTGCTGTTGGAGTCAAAGCAGTAAGGTGGGAGCAAGGGGACTCCCAGGAAGGTTTTGGGGACTGGAGTCAATCTGTCCTCTTTGTGTTAGATTTCCAGTATGGACTACATGCTGGTGAAGATTCTCAGTCATCCAGGACATCCATCCATCCATTATCTTTACCTGCTTATTCCATTTTTGGGTCACGGGGGTCGCTGGTGCCCATGTCCAGCAATCACTGTGCGAGGGGCGGGGGACACCCTGGACGGGTCGCAAGTCCGTCACAGGGACACATAGAGACAAACAACCATTCACTCTCTCACTCACACCTAGGGACAATTTAGAGTTACCAATCAGTCTAACATGCATGTTTTTGGTCTGTGGGAGGAAACCGGAGCACCCGGAGAAAACCCACGCATGCACGGAGAGAACATGCAAACTCCACCCAGAAAGGCCCCTGGACCGGGGTTTGAACCAAGGACCTGCTCGCTGAGAGGCAGCAGCTCTACCAGTTGCGCCACCGTGCTGCCCATCCAGGACATGATAAATTCAAAAAACGTTCAATACAAAAACAACTGGACTTTATTTGTAATAGAAGACGTTTCGCTCCTCATCCAAGGAATTTGAATTGAGAAAGCTACTCGGATGAGGAGCGAAACATCCTCTGTTACAAATAAAGTCCAGTTGTTTTTGTATTGAACGTTTTTTGAACATATGGACTACAGTGTCCTCCATTAGAAGCTAATTCATAACTGACTTCTGAGGTAAATGAGATGAAGGAAATGTTGAAATCCTGCAAGATCTACTTAATAAGCTTTCTCAAAATTTCCTGTCCTTGCAAAGTTCTCAGAAAAGTATCCGTTCTTTAACTCCATCTCTGTAGTGTGCCAACAGCCAGGTCACTATGTCAGGGAATGTGATGGGGTTTGAGTTTTTCACCCTCAAGCCACTAAGCCTTCTCAGCAACTGGGTGGGCAATCTTATAACATCCATTATTCAGAAAACTAGCTCCCACCAAGCTGTTGAGCCACAGTTTGGGGGGAGCAGCCACTGGCTCAGGGTTGGTTTCAGCAGACTGGGAGGAAGCTTCTAAACTTATGTCATCTTGTCTCA